TACGATGAAGAAGACTGGGCAGTTATGTTTGTTTGTTTGTGTTGATGTGTGCGTATCTTTGTTTGTTCGTCCTTACACTTGTTACCTCTTTAAATGTTACATGTTGTCTATAAATGCAGCTTGGTTTTCATCTAATCTACATCTTTTTACGTTAGCAATATTGTGAACTGACTGCATCCATTTAGACGTTTGGTTTATTTTAATAATGTAGGTGGATCTTAAACATCGGAAGGTTGTGTGAGTATTTGGATTATAATTGAATGGGATAGTAAATGAATTGGATATAACCTGCTAGGTTGAAACTTGAATGAAACTTTTAATTGCCGTCACTGCATACTGATTCGTGTTTCGAAGTTGTTTCTCTGTCTATCAATATGTCTCCCCTTTTATCAAAACACATTTATTTCCATCTTTTCATCTAATTGTTAATATTATTATTTTTATTTTTATCAGAGATATTGATTTGTTTAGCGCCAAACGTCTAGAGCGTTTGGCTGGATAGATATTGACGCAATTTCCGAATGCCTGAAGGTAGATGAAAGTACCTATACTATTATTGTGGCACCTATTTTTGTGTCTTTCTTTGATATCTAGTTACAGTATTGTACGCGTCGTTTGTTTATATACACGTTTAGAATTTATGTCTGCCTGCATATGTATAAATATTTGTAATTATCAAAACTCTACCCTGTAATCCTAACCATTGGGTCTAAGTGTATATATAATGTGTGTGTATGCATTGTATGTATGTACATAACTATATATATAAAGGCAGTTAAAATAAACTTATGAGAACAAACGATCAAATCTATGATAAATTATTTTTATTACAAAAAAATATATATCGTACTAACATAAGATAAAAACAAGATATGTTTATAAAGTAATTGTTTATAAGTAAAACTATGGAAGACGATGATAGATTTTAAAAAAGATTAAATACGAAACTTTTAATCTTCAATGAACCATTTACAATGCATACTATCAACACATCATTCTATTGTGAATCCACACACATTGCACGTTATAGACGAGGATCGCTAGGCATTCAAATCCAGACCCTGCAACACCAGTGCCAGGAGTCTTAACCAGTACACCAAAAATATCTAGTACATAAACAATGTAAAACTTAAATAGTGAATTTAAACATAAAATCATGTTTGATACCATGTATAAGAATATCAATATATCATATGTATCTATACGGATCTCTAATTTTAGAATTACCTTCATATACATGATATCATTCATATCATATAGCACATTTCATCATAAAATATAACATACATTCAATCATACTATTAACTTTAATAGAAACAAATTTATAAATTGTTAAATATATACTTTGATATTGAATTTTAAAATGGAAATAAATATTTATAAATTATTAAGAAGAATTAAAAGAATCGATATACAAATTAGTTAAAATAGCCTCCATATTAAAATATAAAAAAAACTGTTTTGAGACAATAAAAAAAAAGAAAAGGTCAAATTAACTTTAAAAAACATAGCCCCTCCACATAGAAGGTCGATTGGAAATAAACACTAACATAGGAATGAATGCATAGGTCCAATAAGTTATTTATTTGCTTAAGAACTGGATAACACTAATAATTTAGAAATATAATATTTGCGATTAAACTAATTGATTAATTAATTAATTATTTATTTATTAGCACATTTAGGCAGTAAATTTTAGAATGATTTATTAAAGATTTGTTAAAGATTTTAATTTATAAATATTATAAATCATGATTTTCAAAAGAATAATACAGCAAAGAGATCGAAAAGAATATAAGATACATACAGAATGCACATACAAATTTAAACTCTATTTTGAAAAATATAGCACAAACATAGCTCACAAATATAAAATGTACGCGATGCGAAAATGTACAGTTAAAAATAAAACTAGTGATACAAAAAATGATATAATGGTAGGATACATGCGTATGATACATATCTAAAAACGTACATGTTGTTTTGTTCTCTTAAGACATCAGTCGATCAAACCAAATTCTGAAATTGCTTATTGACAAAGTGTAATGTCATATACACATCAACAGGAATGAACATCAAATGCTTTTTTGAAACCGAAACGACGCAAAAGTTTTGGAAGAAATTGTGTCGAAATTTGTAAAGAGGAAGTTGTACCACATTAGCCGTTGAAAGTTGCAAGAAGGGCAGGAATGATTTGAACTTAAAATTCAAAATCGCCCATTAATTGTTTATAAATGTCCATCTGTCATTGTGAGAAGCTGAAATTAAAGTCACCATATACAGAAGTAGACACACAGAATAACACGTGGTTATAATGTAGATTGTAGAAAAAAATTACGTTCAATTCAAGGCTGAAGCAATATAAGAAAAATTTTTTTAAATATTAGTTCAGCAATACAGAGTAAAGAAATTTCGAAACAAAATTTTTTGGAGTAGAAGTACCTAAGCATCTTATGCATACGCCAAACACTGGATGGCAAACATGAATAAAATTTTGAAAAAAGTGGAAAAACATTGGCAGGAGAGATAAAACAGGAAATAAGAGAAGGAAAAAAAGATGATGAAGATGGAAGAGAAGAGATAGATAAGACAATGCAAGTGGGAATACACGAACATGATGCCGTGTGTAGTGTGTATGATTGTGTGTGTGTGCGTGTGTGTGCGTGTGTGTGTGTGTGAATGTGTGTGAGAGTGTATGTATAGACGGCTGGTTTACATGGTTTCAAAGATTCATTGCTGGATTGCTGAAGATTTAAGCTTACAGTCACGTATATATATAAAAGCGTTAGTGAGTGAGTTGACGGAAGGCGATCAATAAATAAAATTAAATATAGAAAACAACATCTATAACGTTGAACATCAATAATGGATATTGTTATTAATAATAACTTCCTTTTAAAATTGTATTAATTCCGTTACTTGAATATAGGAAATTTAAATTTGTAAAAAAAGATAGAGCAAGAATCATGTTGAAATCTTGAAAGATTGTTGGGAGGAGAGCCTACTAAGACAACTAAGACATGCAAAATTATCATCGTCATCATCAAATTGAGAACATTAAAATATGCTGTCAACAGACAAAATAAAAGATAATAATAATAATATAAGCCTTTAAATAAAAAAAATAATAACTAATTTTTAAAATTAAAATTTAATTGTGAAATAGTTTAAAAAAATATATAAAAACAGTTTTTTTTCTATACAATTACAAGATTAACAAAGAAGAAATACACGGAGATTAAACATAATGTATAACGTTAATAATAATGTCATACGTGTGTGTTCGTTTGTGTATGTGTGTGTGTATGTGGTGTGTGTGTGGTGTGTGTGTGTGGTGTGGTTGGCTGTATATATAAGTGTATGGTTGTAACAGAGTAGCAGCTTTAATTATAGCTACAATTATATAGTTAAGTGAAAGTACTTGGGTTCGATTTTCATTGGTGCCACTGAAAATTACAGATATGTTTAAAATGCATCAGTAGCAATCAACTGGCTACAATATGAAATACAACCGTAGGTTATTTATTATACAAATCTTAATTACGCTAAACTATGTCAAAATAAAGTAAAACCATCTGCTATTCTAAAATGAGAAAAACATTGTAAGAAACCGCATGCAAATGCATTACTTAAGAGTACAATATATTACAACGCTGCGTAGCTGAATGCATATATCAATATAAATATTCCTATATGAAAAATTGAACAAATTAATTACAATGATTTATTTTATTTTTGGTTTAATAAGTCATTTATCTATCTGAAAAATAAAAATGTGCGCGTGTGCGTGTGTGCGCGTGCGTGTGTATTCTATAAATATACGAACATATAAAACCATATAAAATATGCAATATATATGTGTGTGTGTGTGTGTATGCGTATATAAAAATCATCACATAAAATAATTTATATATGGTAAACCAGTAGACAAAAAGCATATAAGATGATGGCGTGTGTTGCCATGTAAAATGCCTTCAAATAGCCAGCAAATAAAATACACACTTTTAGTATATCGAGTCAATTAACTTATTTAATTTAAGTCAATCTAAGCCAACAATTAATTCTGTTATTGTTCAAAGATAGATGTAACATTAAATAAAATTAATAAAATTCTCTATTCTATACTCTCTGTTCTTTTAAAAGGCAATAAAAGTCTTAGTTTACTTTGTTAATTATATTATATTCTATAATTTATTTAAAAAATTATTATATACTTTATTAACTTGTATGTCTTGGTAGCATCATTGATAGGAAGTAATTATTTAAATGAACATCAACGAAAATGATGATGAAAATGATGATAAGATCAAAATCTTCATTACTAAATGATATGAAATATCGTAACTGAAAGTGTACATTTATCAAATAGAAAAGTTGTACTACAAAAAGGTTGAAACATTAAAAAATGAAACTGAGGCGTAGAGTGAATTTAAAACGTAGATACACATACAAACACGGGCATATACATACACACTTGAACATATACATGTATGTCACTCTCCCAATCTATAAATGATACAACGACTGTATAAGTATCATAAAATTAGAACCAATAAATTTTGTAGTGTTGAAAATTTTGTTCACAACGCAAAGGAAGCCGACTTTTTGTTCACTTGATTAGATTGTAATAAGCATGATGCGTGTGTGTGTGAATGAGTGTCAGTGAGTATGAATGCGTGCGTGCGTGTATGCCAGTCTCGTACAATTTTTGAACATCACTTACCCAATGTTGTTGCGTTTTAAGTTCCTTCTTACAATGTAAAATTCAATGATGAATGAATGAAAATTGTCTTTGTTTATTATTAATTCATAAATCTGTGTGAAGAAAAGTTTAAACAAATATGAAAAATTAAAAAATAATTTAGATAATAAACATGCACACAAGTACATAAAGCATTATGATAGATAGAACGAGTTTGTGATTGAAAAAATGTGTACCTTGGCAAATAGTACAGTATATATTTCAAAGATATATTAAATGATTGAATGCTGCTCAAGTTAGGCAGTTCTTCTTGAAAACGAAGCAGGCAACTACAAACTAACAATTAGCAACCATTTAAGAACAAAACAACAAACTGAGATACAAAGTATATAAAAGAAGACATAAACAAAGAACGAAAACAATATTCCCAAAGAGGAAAAAACAAAAAACCACCCATTCATTAAAAACCAAAACAGAGAATCACGAATTCTTTGCCTTTCTAGCCGCCTTAATGTTCTTGGACAGACTGGACAAATCATAAGAAGCAGATTTGGAAATGAATGGGTGCTTGAGGAGTTGACTGGCCGACCACCTCTTCTCAGGATCAATGTCCAAACAGTGGTCAAGAAAGTCAGAGAGGTCGGCAGACATCTTGCTGCTTTCTTGTAACTTTGGTTTGCCGGTTGATGCGATGAGGTAGAGAGCCCTCAATGGAGTTTCGTTCATGTACGGTGGTTCACCGTCAATCATTTCAATCATCATTATGCCCAGACTCCAGATGTCAACCTTCTGCGTGTATGGCTTCCTAAAAGTGAGTTTAATGATGATATCGTAATGTATTGTAATTTAAGAGATGAAACGCAACAAACAAACAACATCAGCAACCAGCTAATAACTCATCTAGCAACTAACTAGCAATAACCTACCTGACAACAACCTCAGGAGCCATCCAATAGGGAGTGCCCACCATTGTGTTTCGGTTCTGCCTGTCTGATGTCATTTCCGCACAAAAACCAAAATCAGTCAGCTTCACCTGGTGAAAATTATTTGTTGAAAATATTAAAAGATCATTTAGAGATAATATTTATCAATATATTTATGGAAAATATTGAAAATTTGATTATAGAAAATATCCAAAATTACTTAATGATTACATAAAAAATGTACTTCACAAGAACACAGGAATGTAAATCAAAATAATAATTAAGATTGTTTGCAGTAATAAACAACAGCCATGGCAGATCTGCAAGCAACACTACACTAACAATTAGCAACAGACATCAAGATGACCATGAATGGAGCAAATATGAACATTCTCATGTAACAAACACATCAACAACAAATATGATCAGCACCATCAAAATTTACTCCGCTAGAGGATCCTAAAAAAATTCTTGCACGTACACACAAACACACACAAATACACAGACAAACAGACATACACAACCAACAGAATCCACTGACCTCTCCCTTCATACCCAGCAGAACATTATCACTCTTGATATCTCTGTGTATGATGTCGCGACTGTGTAGGAACTGCAGGGCCTCCAAAGTTTTGCACACGATGCCCGATATCTGCTCTTCATTCAGCAGAGTTTCTGTACACACATCTGTGAGTGCCCCACCTGTTGCATGCAATTTTGAGAGAGAGAGAGAGAGAGAGAGAGAGAGGTGTTTTTCACCAATTATAATTTATAGCTTCAATATCAACTGAAGATAAATGCATAAATTTAAATTCTTTCAAAATTTGAGTAAGAAGCAATTAAAAATACCTTCTAAATATTCCATCACTATCCAAAGTTCTCTAGGTATGGAGTTTGTTGAACTTGATTGGCTGCTGAACTTGGATGGTGTCGTACGATTGGTCGATGATGGAGACGATGAAGATGAAGAAGATGATGACGCAAATGGTGGTGGAGGAGGAGGTTCTTTTGGTGATGATGAAGATGATGAAGTTGGTGGGGGAGGAACAAGGAAGCTTTCTATGTAGTTTACAATGTTTGGGTGCCGATTCTGACGCATCACTTCAATTTCTGAAACTATCAGCTCCTTCTTTTGCTGCTTCTCAAGTTCCATCTGGAATATAACAATCAATGTTTGCAAACAACATGTGTTTTTAAACAAAAAATAGGCGTGCACAAAAAATTGTGTTGTTGTTTCAAAATGGATTAATCAAGATATGTCATTTTAGCACAAAACAAACAGCTTGTAGTCTTTAATTTCTATCCATTCAATTTCTAAATTTATAGATTAAAAGATGTGTTTGGTAAATTTTGCACATAAACCTGCTCACTTATTAGAAGCACACCCAGAGAGTTCTTGCATGATTTCAACATCTCACATTATACATCAAATAAATAACTAACTCAATAGCTTTGAACAAGTGTCTCATAATACTGACAATAATGATGATACATAACAATCAATCAAAGATTCAGAAACATTAGATAGTTAAATCATTAGATAGTTGAATCATTAGATAGATAAATCAAAATTAACCATTTACAAACTTATATAGAAATGATATGTTCATAAGATATAATGTGAAAAAACCTTCTTGATTGCCACAGTAGCCTGAGTCTCATTGTTAACAGCCAGACACACAGTACCAGATGCACTAGACAAAATTTTTCAAATGCAAATATCTTATCAGTTAATAAAATTGAGGAAATTTTTCAAATTGGATAAAAAAATAAATGAAGACATAAATAGTTTTACAAAAGAAATGTTATAAACATAATGCCGATAACATGATGTCTCTTCATTTGGAAACCATTGTTTTAAAAACATTAGGCCAAAAAATCTTGTTCTAGGAGGATGGAATCAGTAATAACATTGTAATGACTTGAGTGACTTGAGCCAAACAACAACAAAGAACAAACAGTTTTAAAATGATGTGGCTTAAATAGAAAGAGAGTCTTGACCATAAATAAAACATTAAACATATGATGTGTTCATTTGCCAGATGGCTAAATAAACGTTGAATAAAGTAGAAATAAAGAAGCATGTAAATTGATAGTTACTTTGTTTCAATAGAAAAGTGATGAATAAGCTGTTGAAATGAAAAAAGGAAACTTACCCGGTCCCTATTTTGTCCTTCATGTTGTACTTGGTGGATGGATCAGTCCACGCTATGACATTTCCCTGCACTGAATATTTTACAATTGGAAAAATTATATACATTTAATCCTGCTATAATGCTTGAAATATTTCCACTATTACAAATCTTTAACAATCTGAATTGCTGTGTAATACATTAACTAACCTAATGCTTTAATAAACTGATCAGTAGTCATCTTCTTCTGTTTTTCGTTTCGCAGAGTAGGAGTTGGAAACCCTTTATCAGCATCAGCATTAATTTTTTTTGGTTCACTGATATCTTTTGTAGTTACAGCTGGAAAGATTTTGGAATCTTTTTTTGTATTTCTTTTTAGGTCAACAACACTCAGTTTAGGATCTTTGATTTCCAATTTAGCAACATCATTATTTATTTCGTTGGTTGTGGTTGTATGACCTAAAGCTCTTGGAGGTTGATCTAATTGAAACAAATTGTCTGATGAAGCATTTCCCATAAACTTCTGTGTGTGGTTTTGTTGTTTTTTGACATTGTGGTCAAATGCTTTTAAAGCATCAATCACAGCGATTGGGTTTTTCTGTACATCATTAGAGCTAAATTTAAAAAGTATTTACAAATATGTTACAAATCCAAGTTAAATTTTAATATTACAAATCATGTTCTTCATAACTAAAATGATGAATTCAAAAATTTGGTACTAGGAAGAAGCAAGGTTAAAGTGTATGCATGTCATATATGTTTGCTAATGTCAGGGGCTGAATTATTTGAGTTGGTTTTTGTGGAATAAAATAACTGGGCATCATCAGCACATCAGCTGTTCTTACAATTACATTGCTGTAATCTGTAAGTCTTACAGATTACACTATTACAGTTTAGTACATTAAATAATTGAAATTGTTACCTGATGTTTCCGTCCTTGAGATAACCGAGCCAATCGTCCGGCATGCCTTCAAACTCTCCAGTTTTTGCATTGAAACCAACATGAATATCATGATTGAAATTTGTGGGCCCTGAAATTTCCTTTATTTCCTCCTTATCCACACTGTGGTTTATATTCTTGAACCAATTTAATAACGAAGACATCGCACTTTACTAATTAATTTAATCCAATTTCATTTAGTTTATTAAATTTATAATTATTTTTATTTATTAGTTTAATAAGAATACATAAGATAAGATAAGCACTTTAAAAATCTGATCAAACTTTATCATTTCCAAATAAGATTGATATTGCGAGAAAGGTAAAACTTGAAACTTAAGTAAGATATAAGTGTATCGCACAAATATCTGTAAAATATATTTTGTAACTTTGATTAATTGCAAAATAATATTTAATTTGTTTATTCATTTTATTTAAAACAGTCTTTTAGCAGTAGCAACAAAATTTTCAACAACAACAAACAATCCATCCCTTCCTAATTCATAATGAACAAAAATCTGTTAGTCGGTTCGTTTACGGCCATATTTGCTAGAGGTGGTTCGTTTTGTTTGTCGTTTTGTTCTATTTGTACTGAATAAAAGTAAGTTCTGAATTTTATTAAAATTGTTTTAATTAAATAATTTGCAACATTTTTAATTGAATAATTTTACGATTGTTTGAAATAAATAATTTCACAATTATTTTTGTCCCATGTTTGTTCCAAGGAGTAGTTCATTCAGTTCTGGTCTAAGTTGCTCTCGAGCTCTAAGCTCTTTTCTCTGCTGCTCTTAAAGAGATGAAAAAAGCAAAATTAGTTTCAACGAAAATAAGCTTGTCACACTAGTTTTGTTTCTGTTAAGTAAAGTTTTGAGTCAAAATCGGGTTCTTGATTCTCAGATCTCAGATTCTAAGCTCAGGCTGTCAGACTCAGATCTCTGGTAGAAAATGAATCTCTCAAAAGTTAGCTTCTTAACACATGCTCCGCTTCTAATAAGAATGTTCTGTTCGCTCAGCTCGTTTTCTCTCTTATGTCTTGTCTGTCTCTAGAACACCGCATTTAAATGCTCTCAACAACTATTTCAGGTTTGTTGCAAACAAGTTAAATAAAAAAATGCTTCACTGGGTGTTGATTATAAAATAAATAATTTATAATTTTAAATATTTTTTTGATTAATTATTTAAGAATTAGAATTTTTGTTGTGCTCAATTATTAACTTATTAAAAAATATATTCTCAGATTAGTTATGGCACACAGAGTTTATCTTGGTCGTCTACCTGCCACAGTACGCCAGAGAGATATAGAAAGATTTTTTGAGGGGTATGGAAAAGTACATGATATTGTACTGAAAAATGGTTTTGGCTTCCTGGTATGTTTTTATGAAATTTTCATGTTTTAACATTTAGGTTATTTAAATGATTTTGAAATAATTTTTTCATTAGGAGTTTGAGGATGGTCGGGATGCTGAAGAAGCTGTTAATGATCTAAATGGGAAATCATTGTTAGGAGAAAGGTTGTGTATACATTTTTCTACTTTAATAATTTTATTCTTATCGGGTTCATTTGATTTGTTCAGAATCTTGGTACAACATGCCAACTCAAGTGTACATAGAAACAACAACAGGAGACCAGCTAGAGGAGATAGGTTACTATCTAATTTATTTGTTATCTACCTTTCAGGCTGTTTTATTCTCAATAGAAATATGAAATTGTTTAAAGGCTCACATCTGCCTCATCATTAACTACATTTCTTGTGATGTTAATTAGAATGTGAAATTTATTTTTTACAGTAGAGGGGGAGCAGGAGGAAGTTACGGGCCACCAACCAGGACTGAATACAGAGTCCGAATTGAAAATTTATCATCAAGATGCAACTGGCAGGTTAAGCCCTTAGCCACAAATTTTTTATTTAATATTCTTCCAGTTCATGCAAACTGCTCTTTAAATTTTGAAAATTTAAAGTTTCCTCTATGTCGCACAATGTTCATATTACATTTTTTCACCTAAGGATTTAAAAGAGTACCTAAACAAGACTGGAGAAGTGTGCTTTTGTGATTGCAACAACAGAAGGATGAATGAAGGGTAACTGATACTATACTTTAGTTCCATTTGAAATTCTGTGTTTCATTTTATATTTTTTGATCCAACTTCTACAGAGTAGCTGAATTTGCCACATTGGGGGACATGAAAAATGTTATAACAAAATTAAATGGCAAGGAATTTTTTGGGAGAACCATCCGAATCATAGATGACAGAGATGGAAGGTTTGTTTAGTTATTAAATTAAGCAAGACTCCATTATGATGATTTTCATGTGATTTATTTGATCAATTTGCAGCGCTTCGCCCATCAGAGCAAGAAGTAGATCAAATAGCCGAAAGCGTTCATACAGTAAATCCAGATCAAGATCACCATATTAATTTATCAATGCAGGGTCACTAAAAAACTTTTGTATTTCAAATTGTTCCCAAGACAATGGTGACTGTGTCTAAAACTTTATAGTGATTTTTTTATTATTGTATGTTTTCATTTAATAAAGAGGTTTGCTGTAAATCTATTCTACAAGAGTTTTTTCACAATTAAAGCGTTCATTAATTTATATAACAAATTGGTTAAAGTTGTTATGACAACATATTGGAAGTCATTAGAACCAAGATTTAGGATCATCCCATTTGAGGACGATACCTTCTCCAGCATGCAAAAGTATTGGAACACCCAGATCAATTTCTGTGCCATCTGCAAACAAGTCAATCCTCTTGCCTTCAAAATTGTATGTGGATGTGGCTATGATTGCATTCACAGCTGGGATCTTGTCTGCCATTTTACCTAGATTAATGATTAAGTATGATGCCGAGCAATGACACTACAATTTTATAAATTTACATCAAATGTACCTGATCTTAAATTAACAGCAGATGGTCCTGGGCCAAAGTTGATGGCCACTAGCAAGTTGCTGTGTCCTTCTGCCTTTCTCAGATAAAAGTACACATTCTTCAAAATGCTGGCGTGCAAGGTTCCCCATTTCAAGGAAGGTTCTTTCCTTAGAAAAACATATTTCTGGAAGACTTTCAGATGACTCATACCTGACCCGTGAGCTGATTGATACTGAAGCATGAAATACATCTATTTAATATATCTATTTTTCATCATTAAAAATACCAACTTACTGAGCAAAATTAACTAATTTATATTTAATAACTTAATGACTAACAAACCTCAACATTTTGGTCAGTTGAGTTACTATCTTTAGTTGAATTTCCTTCCATTGATGAACTATCATCCCAGTGCATTGGATTCACATTCAGCTGGTGAGGCAATATATCAGCTATTTAATAAATCAATAATAAGAATATTTTGTAGGTCATGAGTTGAAATTAGTTGAGAAGAAATGAACTTGGAGTAAACCTCGTTCAAAGCTGAGTCTTTCATCCCAATTTCATCACCATAATACACAAAAGCACTGCCAGGAAGTGTCATCAACAAAAGATTGGCTGCGTTCAACATTCCATCTCCATTTATCTCAGCATGCCTGTCTACCATCCTACTGGCTATTCTTCCATTTTTAGAGCCACCAAACTAGAAAAAATGAAGTGAAGAGTGAATTAGTCCTAATCTATATATCATATTTATGTGGTTACTTTTTGATTTTCATAATATACACATACTTTTGATTGTGATGACATTGGACAAATCATAAATGTAATACATTTCCTCATTTAATCAAACTAAATGGATTAAATGTTAATTGGAACAAACCATCCAATTGGATATTTTTGAAGTAGGTCCAATATCACTCAGCCATTTGTGAACCAGGTCACTGACACATTTAGCCTTGCAATCAATCTTCATGCTGAGAAGCGCTTCATTAACAGGAACAAAGTTAGTAGATGTCTTCAATGATGTCAGTTCATTAGTTGAACGACCAGCCTTGTATTCCATCAACACTTTGGGATGCTTTTGACTGATTAATGAAAAAAAAAAACAGAATTAAATTAACTCATCCTACAAGAATTGAATCAAAACACGAACGTTGTTTGAGTATCTTGGTTTGTAAAATTCTCAAATAGTTGTTTCCAATGATTTATTTGTTCATTGGAGATGCCATTTTCATTTATCTATATTTTTATAATTTAATTAATGGCCATTCATTTATAAGATTAGTATAATTAAATTTAAGATGAGATTTACAACACTTACAATTTTGATTCCATCAATTTTTAACTTGAGCCAATTCCACAACATATCCTGTAAAAATTATTGAAAAACAAAGATTAATTAATTCTTAGATGAGAACATTCAACAAAAAAACCAACATCAAGTTTTTTATTTTCTGGGCTTTTTAAATCTTCATTCAGTTTCACAAAATCAAAATCTAAAACTATTTTCAAATCTGAAAAAAATAAGTTGATAATTTTTCAAAATATAAAATATTTAACATGATACAAATATGAATTAGATTAAGATATAACTTTAATCTAAGAAAACCTAACCCTTCTTTCTGGCAGAATTGACCAGATGAATAAAATCATTCAGAGTGCCCAATGGAGGAGATGGTATGGAATAGTTAAAGTTAGTAGGCTCCAGACCATATTTATAAATTGGACTCATGGCAATAGCATCTGCTTTTAAAGTATGCTTGATGTAATCTAATTTCTCTGTAAGACCTTCATAATTGAGAGTGAATATTAAAATTGTTTGTGGCTAATGCAGATTAAATAAAATTTATTAAATACCTTTTAAGTCTCCAACTTTGTCACCATTACTATCATGAAAAGCCTCAACTGGAACCTGATAAATAACAGCTGTTTCCCACCATTCCTGATGAGGTCTGGGTGGACATTTTGGAGTCAATACAATGATGACAATGGCTGATACGAGCATAGCAATCCACAAAATACTAAACAAGACCAGAAGAATAATACGCAGACGGACCCAATATGGATCTTTAGCATACTTCAAAAGATCTTCTTTTTTCAGTCCTAAAACATTGAGATTTTATAGTTTATACACAAATAACCAATGAACTAAGAATACTACTGAGAAAATATAACTTTTTTATTATAATAGTGAAACAAACCAAAAATAAAAGTAAACCCACCACAATAGTCATCAGAAGTATCTACTTGAAATGGTTTCACACCATCCTCAGTTGGTGACTTAGAAAAAGTGATATTAAGTTCACCTCCAACATTGTTGGCTTCAACATCAGACTTCAGTTCCACCGTTTCACCTTCCATTTGGTTCAGATTTATAACAATTGCAGTCAACTGTCTCTACAAACCTCCTGAATTAAATTTTGTTTATGACACTATTTACTGAAATTTAGTAACTAAACTATTACAAATAAAATTATGAAGAATATTTGTAATATGTTGTATTTTTATTTATTATTAATATTATTAATGATTAATCATTAATTTAATTTAATGAAATCTAATTAATAAACAAATAGATACATTAGCATTAGATATTTTAATTAATATATATTAATGATTATCAATGAAATCTAAGTGATAAATAAAATAGATTGGCATTAGATTAGATTAGCATATTAGATTTTTATTATTATACATCATTAGAAGATAGTTACATACAATCAGTCAATCAGTGATCAAAGTCAAAAGTACAAGCATATGGTGTAGATCTCACTGACAAAATGAATATTTAATTTAATTTAATTAGTATAGTATAGAATTATACTTTATAGATAGTTATAGAATAGACCAATATTTCTGTTGTTATCAGTTTCATGTCATGCATAACATAACTCAATAACTGATAACTCCTAAAACTAAAACAGTTAATTAAGTTAAGTCGTTAAGTAAGTTAAATCTTAAATGTTAATTAAATTGTATTTAAAAGTGTTTCATTTCATTCATATCGTTAAACTTCAATCCAACCTCGTGTTAATCGTTAATGACAATACTAATGTGAATGAAGAAACCGCGTAGGAGCAGTCGAGTTTATGTGGCAAGGAGTGTGAAATTAGCAATAATCGAATGACGCAATCTTACAAATCATTAGCAGGAGTTCGCCAAAATTAGCAGGAAGTCATACAAAAATATGAACAGGCAGCTGTTTGTAATTATTGGATCGGATGGACAAACAAACTTGATGGGGAGCTGTGTTTTTATTATACAGTTTAATATTTTATCTACCTTAGCTAGGAATTTAAATCAAATTAATACGTTATTCTACATATATGATTGCATATATAATGTTAATATATATATCTATATCTATATAAAATCATTTAAAAGTTATCGTGTCGGCTGGTGCTTGTACAAATGAAGATTAAAGGATAGTATAAACAAAAATTAGTTGTCCAATTATATTTTGGCTCATGCTATCTCTTCATGTTGATGGTACACATTATAAACGATTACTTTTAGTATTCCATCCTTAAATTATAGCTACGTTGATAAGATGGCAAAGTTGTAATGTACAAAACAAAATGCTGCTAGTCACTGCAGAGTTAGAATAAAACTAACGTTAAAATTCGATTTGCTTTCTGCATATTCGTTTATTATCTTTTTATCATACGAAAAAGATTAGGAGGTGTTGCATGTAAGACTTAAATTGATTGTTGTAAAACGTTGATGGCTCTTATACGAAATCGTATCTTGATATTGAAATAAAGATTAAACAGCCTACTTTAAGCTAGAAGTCCTTTAAACAATTTGTTTATCATTAGCTCAGGCTTGTATAACACCATAAGTGGATACAAAGTTCACATATATTTAGGTGAAAAAACAGGTGTGATTCTCATGGTTTATTTCGTCTTATAATATATAAAAGAACGAAAATAATATGAACAACCAAACAATAAATCTGAACAAAATTACAATTACGACTCAAGCGACCCATGCGGACCAGAACACTAAATATTATTTTCTGGAGAAGGCTTACTTGAGAACGGCTTTGGAACAAAAAAATAAAAAACATCAACCTTTAAAAGTCTTCCCCTTTAAATATTACAGCGCTGATATCGTTAAAGATGATCAACCAGGACCAAGCAAAACCAGCCAACATGGTCGGATACATCATCAAAAAATCAACATAGGTTAGCAGGCATTTGCAAATATTTCCTTTTTATTATTAAAATTCTTTTTACAATACTCTCTTCAATATTTTTTAGTGGTATCAACAACACGCCGTGCTGTGCGTGCAAATCCATGTGAAACAACACATCACATGCATCGCATTTTGCATGTAATCGAATCCGATAACCTCAAAAATGTGCCATTACGCCGAATGCATCATAATGACTACATACATCTAAACTATATTTCGTTCATTTAAAATCAGTTAACTTGAAATAATAAGTTATATCGGAGGACTTAATTACTTTCATTAGATGAAACAACTTACGAGAAACCGATTTATTGCAGTAGAATAACCGTTAATCTCAAGCAAAGTTAGTGCCCTCTGTCACTCGTAATTTCACTTGTAACATTTCAGCCATTTAGTTTTTAATTCGTCATTTGAATAAATTCTAAATGCCCCATTATTAAAATGCAATTTTTTTATTAGGAAAGTCTTCAGTCTTGAGAGAAAAAAGGAAAATTACAGTTATACCCCAAGAAGAGTTGACAGCGAAAACAACGAAGTTCAGACTCAATGATCTTATGAAATGAATTTTTCCGTTCAATATTAGTGCAATAAACTTGAAAAATTGTAAATTATGTTCCAACTGGAGTCGATTACGTGTTACCATTGAATCGCGTTGATATTCCTGAGAATGCGGTTAACATAAACGCTTCCAACGAATAAATGCAATTTAATTATGCGCCTGTATTTGTATAGGCAAACCACATAGATCAGACAAACCAAATATATAGTGTAAAAAAAAGTACGTTTTTGGTAACTCGACTCAAACAGGCGCAAAATTATGCTGAATATGGCGAATATAAAGTTATAGAGAAATAAACAATTTTATTACGAGAAATTATTAATTTTTTCTACAAACATAAATGTAGTAATACAGTAATGGCCAAAAACTGAAAATGATATGGTTTATGCATGATACACGACTACACGTGATATCAAACTCCTCATAAAAAATATATCTACATAAATAAATAATATACGAATAAGATACTTTGATATATCATCATAATATTTATTAACAAAAATAATTAGGCAGATTCATAAGATCGTACGCGCGTAACTGGATAATTTACTGACTACGATTACAATAAATACGTTAATGGTTTATCGTTAGTAACTTACTTGAAATCATTAACGAGTAAGAGTTATTCATCCACGTTAAATGATAGGTCGTGTAGAATATAGAATACGTAAAATATAAAGCAGAGTGAAAATAGATTATTATAGTTACGTAAAAGCGTTAAGAACGACTCTGAAATGCAAAATAATACTGAGTAACAAGCCATAACAAGTTGGTACATTCATTAATAACGCAAAGTGTATGCTGTGTATAATTCATAATATAAATACATATGACACATTTTGTGATGTGTGGTTGTTAGAACTAATAGAAATGAAAAGCGAAATAAACGAAAACTATTTCATTTTTTCCATAAATATGATGAAATTAAGACGATCAACAATGTGAAAATAATAGTGTCAGAACAATAAAAAGGCGTTTGTAGCACCAGTCTATAAAATAAACACATTCACTTATAAGTATATATGAATCATTCTTGTTAGCGCGACACAGCTAGGCAACAAAAATGATCATGGTTTAGCCTTTCTTAGTTGAGAGTTTAATTCCTCAAAAGAATCAACAATTTCTTTAATGGATTGCCTCCTTTCAGAGTTTCTGTCGTATTTACTTTTTCTGTCATGTTCATCAGGTGAGTCACTTCTTAAAGGAACAATGATCTGATTAACCGTTTTGCTAATTGCTGCTTGCTTATGTTTGTCAGTTTTATTTTTGTTCTTGTGTAATGACGGGAGAGCAGAGTATTGAGGTGTGGCTTCTAAGTCAGAGAAATCAAAGTTCAGTGGCGAGAAAGCTGTGAGTTGATTTGGGGCGAGGATGGCGTCGATAGTGATGTCAGTGCAATCTGTTAAATCACCTGTGTCATCGCTCAACTCAAATCTCTGATAGTACATCGGATCAATATTTTCCTCTTTATGTTTCATGTTAATTTTGCAGTTGTTGAAAAGGTGGTTGGATCTTGTTTGAGAATTCTCATTTGAGATAGTTGTGCCTGCAAGTGTCTCGTTGTTCATAGAATTTATACCAGAACAGTTAACATCTTTGCTAACTTTAGTCACGACATTCTTTGCAAGTTTAGATCTTTCTTGTTCAAAGTCACCGTTAAGCTCTTCCAAGTTGGAAGCAACGCCTGCACTTTGACCACTGTGTTGCATGCTAAAATCACTTAGACCATTTAAATGATGGGTCATGTGAAACTGGTTAACATTATTATGCTTGCATCTATCTCCATCAGCATTATAAAAGTTGCGGCTGCCATTGTTTGAATGATTTTTGCTGGTTTTATTAATAGTATTATTGTGGCTGTCATTTTTATTCATATTTTCATGGACAACCCCAAAAGATTTCAAATGAATATTAGATTTATTTCTTTCAGTTAAACATTCATTTTCACCTTCCAAGTAGCCAGAATCTGAACTTTTGAATGGTTTCACATTGTTTTTGGAGTTTTGTTTAAGATGATTGCTTGGCACGAGTTTATTTTCTGTTTCGTTGGCTTGTTCTTTCAAATGATCAATTACTTCCCCAGTCTCTGAATATGATTCCAAGAATAAATTCTCTTCAATCAAATTAGGAACACTTTGAGATTTTTCAAACAATTCAACAAGTCTGGCCACCCCACAGCTGCTACTTCTCCTTCTCATCAAAATTATTTTTTTATTATTATTGTTGTTGTTGTTTTTACTTTTCTTGTTATTATTTTTATTATTTTCAAGTGCAACTTTTCGTAGATCAGGCTGGTGCAGTGAACGTGACCTCATAACGTTGGTGGTCTGTTTGGAAGCGAAACAGCATTTGGTAGGCACATCCAACCCCCTGTTCTCTGCAATACTATTATCAAATATAAGTTGTTGTTGTTGTTGTTGTTGTTGAAACTGTTGTTGTTTGTTCTGTTGTGTCTGTACATTCAGTGATCCGTCAATTTTGTCACCACCACTTCTCAGCTTTCTGGGATACTTTGATATTTGTTTGAATTCCTTCCTCAAATCAGGATTAGATTTGACAAAGTTGGCATCATAATGATCGGCCCCACCTCTTGCAATGGATCTCTTCGACTGCTTAACTGCATCACTTGAACACGCTGATCCATCGCTCAAATAATTGTAGAACGCACTTTTTGATTTCGAGTGAATTAAAGAAACTTTTGATTGCTTGTTATCAACGTTAGAATCATTTGATAGTTTTTTGGTGTATTGAATGATTTTATTTGAAAAACAAACTGCGTTGTTATTTCTGCCAGCAGTATCTTTGTTCAAATGAGGCGTTGATGATGACTTGGAGATTGCATCCTTAACGCTAGATTTATTGGAATTTAATTTCTTCAAGTTTAGCAGGCAACTAGCATTTTCTTCGTTGGGTCCAAACAATTTAGCCTTGATGGCAGCAACACTAACTGGTGCACCATCATCATCGTCGTCGTCGTTGTCATCACCACCGTCATCATCACTCCGACTTGTGACGTCATAACCCAAGCTAGCAGATTTATGGAGGTGTCTCATTGAAACGCTGTCAGCGGATTTCAGTTGTTCACGTTTCGTCTGCTGATTGCTTGAGGTGATCAAATTTTGCTGGCCATGCTGCAGCTGAAATTTCAAAGATGAAACAACTTGCTGAGGAAAATTTGTAACCTTTTTGTTAAAATTATTACCACCCGATTGATTGGTAAACTGAATCGTTTTTTCGTCATCTTTCTTGCAATAGTTATTTTCAGAACTGTGTGAATTGTTAGCATCTCCTGAAATTAAGTACAACTCTGATCTATCCTGAGATTTGGGTACCGCAATTTTGAGAAAATTACTTGCATTAAGAACGTGATTGTAATCATTACTGCTTTTGCCGTTGATGTTATTTTTGATGACAGTAGTACTTTGATATGGTTTGATTGGTTGGCTTCTTTCTGGTATCTTGAAAACCAGCTCAATCTTATTGTCATTTTCAAAGATTGCATAACTTTGATGTATTTGTTGTTGCTGTAATTGTTGTTGTTGTCGTAATTGCTGTTGTTGTAATTGTTGTTGTAATTGTTGTTGCTGCTGTAAGTGTTGTTGATGCGATTGCTGTTGTTGTTGTATTTGCTGTTGTGAATGGTGTTGTTGGGGATTCTGTGCTGGCTTATAGTTTTGTTTAAAATTTTGTTGTAGTTGGTAATTTTGTTGTTGTAAGAACTGTTGCCATTGATGTTCGGGTAAAGTCGACTGTTTATTCAAGCATTGTTGATAAAACAGTTGTTGTTGATTTTGTGCATGCATACCAAATTCTCGCTGTTGTCGTTTTGTATGCAGTGACTCATCATCTCTCATTAGCAATGAAAACTCATTTTCTAAGTTGCCCCAGCTTAAAATTGGTTTTCTTTTTTCAGCTGGACTCAAGCTGTTCAACTCATGCAATTTATTTCTTATGTTGTTGTTGCTGTTTGGCTCATTGCTGATGTTTTGGCAACTGTTGATTGGATTGTTATTGCTCTTCAAGTTAGTTTCAAAAAAATAATCTGGTGGAGGAGGCAAAAAGTCATTAATGTTGTTGATGCTAGTGTTGTTGTTGTTATTATCATGAATATAGCTTGTCTTGTTTTTGTTGATGTTTCTACTGCTGTTGTTAACCTGAATAACGTGGTCAATGTTATCTATATCAATTTCGTGCCTATTGTAATGAAGATTGCTATCTTTATGAAAATTTAGTAAATTTGGCTGTAGACTGTGTTGTTTTCTAAGCTGTTGTCTACGTTGTGGTTGTTGTTGTTGTGGTTGTTTGCAGAAGCCAGTGATGCTGAAACATGTAGACGTCTCTGGGTCACTCTCATGTCCATAATTTTTCTTTGAATGCGATTGGGTGATATATTGAGAAGCGTCATCTAAATGGTGATTGGTGACATCATTCAAATGATAAGTTGGATTGACGTAAGACGTTGTATCATTAGAAGAATGACGCAGATGATGAGGATAAAATTTGTTATCACAATGGTCGTGTTCTTGGTTAACGTTAACATTTCTTCTCAAAATAATATCGCTATCATTCTTAATATAATTGCTGTCGTTAATTGTGCCATTGATGATATTAGCATTGATGTTAGCGAAGATACTGTTAGTGTTGATGTTTGTACTGTTGTTGGTGTTGATGATGTTTGTGCTTGTGTTAATGTCATTGATGCTGTTGATGATGTTTGTATTGATGTTGTTGATGTTTGTATTGATGTTGTTGATGTTTGTATTGATGTTGTTGATGTTGACGTCATACAACCAATCAAGCTTGCTGTGCTGTGACGTAGGTCTAGGGTGTATTGGCGGTTTGACAGAGCACGGGATGTGGTCCATGGTCTTGCTTGCTGATGTTGTTTCTGACGAAGTTGTCGCCGTCGTCGTCGTCTTTGGAGATATCGATTTGGATTTCGGTTTGACAAAATTAACGTTGTTGACATTTTTTGTAATGTTAGCATTTGCGTTGATAACGTTGTTATTGATGTTTTCCCTGATGTTTCCATTGATGATGTGATTAATGTCCTTAGTATTAATGTCACTTACTTTGTCACTATTGCAAATGTTGTATTGTAGTGGAGGAGGAATTACACTCGTTGATGTTGGTGGGTTGTTTTTGAGTGTATTGTTTTTATGCTTCAGCAGTAGATTGCCGATGTAGTCAACATTTTTTGGTGATGTTGCCTGTATTTGATGCTGATTGATCCGTTCTGACTTTTGTTGTTGTTGCTGCTGAAGTGGTTGCTGTTTTTTTGCTTGTTTGTGATGTTGAAATTGTTGTTGGTTAGGCGGTTTATGTTGTTGATTAGGTTGTTTATGTTTTTGTATTGATTGTGGTTGATGAAAACTTTGATGTTCTTTAGTCTGTAGTACGTATTGTTGCTGTTGTTGTAATGATTGTTGATGTTGTTGAGTCATTTGTTGTCGTTTCTGAGTTTTTTGCTGAAACGAATCTTTCTTCCTAGCTTGCTGAGGTTGAGATGAAAGTTCTGACAAATTAGGCACTTGCTTAGGCGGCAATTTGTACTGGTGTTGCATGTGATGAGTCATTTGTTGTTGCTGATATAGCTGTTGTTGTTGATGTTGATGTAGTTGTTGTTGTTGTAGATAATGTTGTTGCGGTTTATGCTGCTCAGGTTTTTGATGATTGGCGTGTTTTTGTTTGGTGAATGATAATGACGACGATGATGACTGTCGACTTTTTGTAGAGTTACTATGCTGTTTTTTAAACACTTTTGCTTTCTTCACGCAAGCTGCATCGTCATCATTATCGCCATCATTCTCTTCGTTATTACCATCGTAATCTTCCTCATAATAATCACCACCCTGACTGATTGAAATGACGACATCATTATTGTTATTATTATTTTTATTAGTGTTATTTTTGTTGCTGCTGCTGCAGTTACCAACACTACCGACAGTAACGTTCTTGGTTGTCAATTTTGTAACCTTCTTTGATGAACTTGCTGAGGCAGATGACCTTTTGAGCATCTGCTCATACATTCTTAATTTCTCAACAAAATTCATTTTCTCATCTCCATCATCGTCGTCGTCATCTTTAGTATTATTATTATTTTTATTATAATCATTAGTATTATTATTGTCAGTACCGTTATTATCATTATCACTTCTTTTAATCAGATTATTATTAGTTGTAGTATCGTTTCCATCTTTATCATCCCCAACACAGATATCATCCGTTTCATCATCGTCAATGTTGTTATCATTATTTTCATCCGCGCTTTCATCATCGTCGTCGTCGTCGTCGCCACTATCATCATCATCGTCGTCGTCACTGGATACATTGACGCCTTCAAAATTATCAAGCCTATATTCACCTTTATCATCATTGTTATCATCAATGTAATCATTATTGATATCATTATCTTCATCACCATCATCCAAATCATCGTTGTCCCCATCATTCACACCATCATCAATATAAACATCTTCCTCAACATCATCCTGACTTATACTCTTGCATTCTTTTGAGTCATCATCATTTTCGAGTAAAATCACTTTATTATCGTTTCTTTTGCCTTGATGAAAATTACTGAACTTTTTGTTGTTGTCATTATTCATATTATTGATGTTATTATTGTTATTAATGTTGTTACTGATTTTACTGATTTTACTGCTAGCATTCTTATTTATATTATCATAATTCACTTTATTGCTATCATCAGCACACCTGACTCCAGATTTATAAGCACATCTTATGATATCACCGTATGAATGCCTTCTCTGGGTTGATCTTTTTTTGTTGTGGTGGTGGTTGTTGTTGTTTTTATCTCTGTGTTTATTTTTCATCATCATTCTATAGGGTTGATCAAGGTTGTAGATTTTGTTGATGTTGAAATTGCTGCCGTTGTTGCTGTTGTTGTAGTTATTGTCGTCTGATAAGGATCCTCTCCTTGACACCGAAATAAAAGTTGGTCGCGCAGAGCTCGATCTTGATTGGTCTTCAAAATATTTAACAGGGTTAATGTCAAGGTTGTTTGGAGCCTGGAAGGTCAGATCGATGTTGACCTTGGGCACATCTGGGTAGAAATGAGTCGTGTTCCAATTGTACACGCGCCTGCTCGTCAGGGGTTCGTTCGAATGGTTTGCCAGAGGTGAGGTCCTATCAAAGCCCTGGTCAATATTAATTTAAATAACAATTAAATTGAGAGAGCAATCATATAAAATATACAAAATGAATAGATAACATTTAACACAGAATGCAACCTAACAATTAAATACAACGTCCAAACTGGGTTGAATACTTAACAATAAATAATAAAAGTGAATTGACAAAAAAAATATTCGAAATTAAATAAAAATCATTTAACAAAGAAGCAATCGGCAATGCTTAAAAAAGCAACATCGGTGAAGCATTAAAATGAGCCAATAAAAAGAGAGTTGTGCAATGTGGATCATGCACCAGCGAGAAAGAAAAGAAAAGAAGAAAAGAAAAAAATGTTGAATATTTATCACAGAGGCAGGTTTGCCAGCATGAAGTAATTGTATGTATGTGATCCTGATGAATAAATGAAAAACCAAAAACCAATACAATCCTCATCCGAGGAAAAAACATTAAACAAACATATCAAAAGATAACCGTACAGGTAAACAAACAATTTTATTTGCATATGGTGTTTGCTTCTGAATAAGATCAACAGACTGTATCAATTTTTCTATTCAGTATTGTTGAAATGATACTATAATATGCTAAATTAATAATGAGAATTAAGAAAAATTCATCTAGGAATCAGAAAAAAACGCAATTTATTCAGCTATCTCCAAGCATAAAAAAGTTGGGAAAGTTTTTAAAGAAAATTAACCACCAGAAATACATTTTTAACAAAATTAATAACAGCCTATCAACATGCATAAGTACATGTAGCATTGCTCTCAATGTGTAGCATTACATTTTATGCAAACACATAAAGTATACTAATTCTAAACTAATCAATCAGTTTTTCCATCTTTTTTCTTTTTATTGTTGAAAAAAACAAGATGGAAAAAAACATGATTGAAAGATTAGACAAAAAAATAATGAGTAGAAGCAACAGAAGAATGTAACTGGATGACATATGGTGAATGAAAATTATTTGATACCAATAAACACACATGCACAAGCACATGTGTTTGTAATAGTTATTTGTATGTATAATTTCTTCAGTACATGCTGATAAATATGTCTCAAAAAATTTCTCCTAGCTGAACGTTCGTTCAGTTAGGTGTTTTGGTAGGAAAGATTTTCATAAAAAATATTTGCAACCATGTTTACCAAGAAGAAATCGTGAATACAATTAAAATTAAAAACCATTTGAATGACTTGACCGGCATGCAACAACATACAATTCAAAACACAGTAAAGGGTTTGACATAATAAAATTTGAAAAAAAAAACAAAACAAAAAAATATGTGTGTTAAAAAAACAGAACAATAATTAATTTTGTTCTATGGATATTAGTAAGTTAAGATAAGGAAATCTATCTGGAACTTGAATGGAAACAAGATATTTTTAATGAATGATGTACATGATGATGCTTGTAAAAATAACAACGTAATGCGGGTAGGCAACATGAATATATAACGGTGTATATATATATATGTGTGTGTGTGTGTGTATGTGTGTGTGAGTGTGTGTATGTGTGTGTGTGCGATCTCGCGCGTGTGTTTTCTAGTTAACTTTAAGTCAGAGACGATGATGACGAAGACAACGATGATGATGACGATAACGATTTTGATGGTTGGTGTTGATGATGATGAATATGTTGATAAATTGATGCAGATAACGAAGATGATGATGATAATAAAGATTCCTCCGGTGCTTACAACATCATAAAGTACATTTATACATCAAATTATTTTTTTGTTGCATTAAATAATGACAAAAAATACATAAATACATACATACTATATACATGCACAAATACACACACACACACACATACATATATATACATATATATATATATATATATATTGTTGATAATAATATATATATATAATTGATTGATTGAAACATTCACAAGTAATTTATAAAATGAAAAAAGAAAAAACTTGTACTTATCTAAATTGTAGCTAAATTGGTCCTTAAAAAATATTTATACCATCAATAACTAGCATGGGTTGGATGGGGCACTTGTACGTACAGTGTATGTAGGCACAACACATACCTACACATACACTTATGAAAAGCACACAAGTACATACAAACATAAACAAATCAACATTTTCACAACCGTTCAAAAAAATTTTTAATATACATAACCAAATTTGAATATATAAAAAGTAGAAGACAAAAAGAGCTAAACAGATATAAAAAGAAAAAAATATACACAACTCATACTGTTTTTATACAAAAAAAAAGCTGGCAAACACACACACACACAATTATAATATAAAGATTTATCTAACTAAACACATAGAAACAAATCCATTTACATGAAAAACAATTAAGAAAAAACTTCAAGTTAGAGTGAATGTAATTAGCCTTTATGAGTTTAATATTATGGAGTCTGGGGATAATTTTATGTAATATCTCTCTCTCCTTCTCTCTCTCTCTCTCTCTCTCTCTCTCTCTCTTTCCTTTATTTCTGACTTTCGGTCTAAATATATACATGCATAGTTTCGAAAAACTTCACTCTCCACTTGCTTTCTTTCTTTCTTTCTTTTGATCAGTCAGACCATTATAATTTATAAAACTAAAATTTATAAAAGATAATCAATTAAACACATTTCCTTGAATGCACAATGTTACAACGGCTGGCTTGTACTGGCGCGTAAGTTGGCAGTATAAAATGGAATTTTCAAAATAATGATTCATCTGAATACGGCTTAAATCAATTTGGTAGAAGAAAAAAAGCTTATTTATCATACCAGACACCATGTTACACTAATTATGTGAGAAATTACAAGTTTTAATAACTATAGTAAGAACAAGATAATTATTATTACTTTATTGTACTTATTATAAATAATATTAATACTGTTGATGTTGTTGTTGTTGATATGGCTGTTGTAAGAAAAATTTTATCCTAACCATCAATCGTAAACAAGGCCACCGATACTAACAAACACAAGCAGAAGCACGCAAGAGTGAAATTTGTATAAATTCAAAGATAAATGATTATAGAAAAATTATAAAATATGATGTCTAAATAATATTTTCTCTATTTAAAACAAATTATGCATTAAGCTATAATTATTCGTGAATTATCTTTCTACTATTGAGGATGAATTACGCATTAAACTACAATGAATTGCGAATTATATTCATGTTAATAAAAATAAATTATGATGCCTCTGGTTTCAATTCAAAATTTAACAAGCATTTTATTATGCAATGCCAAACAATGCCGTCTTAATTTACTATTCATTTGAAGGATAATGAATCAATAAATAAATTATAAATTGTTATTTTTGAAGGAAGAGCAAAAATATGAAAGCAGTAACAATAAATGTTTATTAATAGAAAATGATTTGAAGGGACTAACCTATAAAAATTAAGAAATTTAACATTAACTCACACGCCAGTTTGGCGTAAATTTTATTATTTTTTTAAACAACTAATTTAAATAACTCTAAAAATGATGAATTGAAACCGCAAAAACTTACAAAAACCATAGCATCATCATATTCACCGTCATCATCTTCTGAGAAATCATCCTTCATCTTCGAGTAACAACTGCTGTAGCAACTATTCCCAGTCGCAGTTGTAGACGACGAAGCAGCAGAAGCAGTAGCAGCAGCAGTACTTCTATTGAAATTATTACTACTACCACCACTTGAAATACTGCAGTAAATACTTTGATTACTACTAAGATTGGAGCAGTAGCTACATGTACTACTACTTCTGTAATGAGTGTTAATACTACATTTTTCGCCCTTACAACTGCAACCGCAACAACCACAACAATTGCGACTTTCCAAATGCAGTTTATTGTTGTCTAGAACAATACTTAAATTGCTTTTAAACATTGTCTCGTTAACATCTTTCTATAAGTCTGCAGCAAACGTTAAATTCAAACTTTTTTTAAATTAGAAAATTAGAAAAGTTATGAAATAAAACCTGCAGCCAAATTATTTAGAAATAAATAGATGCAACAGATTTTTAACTTTTCGTAACTAAAGAATATCGAGTGGTATGTTACCATGTTGTTGTTGTGTTATTGTTGCGTTGTTACGTTGTTGTAATGTTGTGCTAACGTGTTGTTATTAATGTTGTTTTTATGTTAATATGTTGTTGTTGTGTTGTTGTTGTTTTATCTTTTCATGGCTTTTCAATACTAGACTAACTTACCTATCTATCTAGCACATTATTTATAAGCTTCCTCCTATTATTGTTATTGATATTATTCAAGTTGTTGTTCATATTTTTCTTATTATTATTCATATTATTACATCATCATTGCTTTAGATTCAATTGTAATGATACGTTAATATATTTTATTTATATGCAATGCAGAAGCATCAAGGAAGAAATCTACATCGAAATCATCCTCATCATCTTCTTACTCATAGCTATCTTCTTCTTACTCATCATCATCTTTTTATTCTTTGTCGTCGTCATCTTCATCTAACTCGTCATCATTATCTATTCATTATCACCATCACCAACAAAGACGATCATCATCGGCGTAGTCGTCATCATCATTACCTTACTCATTACATCATGTTGCTTATGGTATTAATCATCGTCATCACCATCTACCTACTTATTATCACATCACCGGGCTATCTTACTCACCGTCATCATCATCATCATCATCATCATTATTCCATAAGCATCATAATCTTGAATATATTGTTATAATTATTGATAATTATAACCGTATCTTAAATAATTTTAATGTAACAATGATCTTTAGTATGTAATCATTAGCAATTAGAAGAATCAATTAAGGATATTTTTATATAAAACATAGTTGTAATGGTACTAAAGTAGAGTGCTTACGATGAAGGTAATGATGATGATGATGGTAATGATGATGATGATGGTGACGACGAATCATTTAATAATGATGGTAGTGATAATGATTAGAACGGTGATGGTGAAAATGATGATGACTGCAATGATGATGGTGATGATGACGAGGCTTACGACGACGATGGTGGTAATGAAGATGATGGTGATGTTTTACATTTGGAGCTTTCACTCAATACAGTTAAGATTGGGACAGGAGAAAAATATTTTTCGGCTTTTTAAAATAAAAATGAAGAAAAAACGAAATAAAATGAAATAAGCAGAACTATAAGAATAAGTGCATTGCTGCTCAGAAAGATTTACCAGCACACACACACACACATACCGGCAGTTGATAAATCAGATCAGCAACTTGTTTCACACACACACACACAGAAAGAGAGAGAGAATGAGAAAAAAAGAGAGAAAGGAGAGAAAAGAGAGATTGGGAAAGAGCGAGCGAGAGAAAAAGAGAGAGAGAGAATGAGAAACAGAGAAAGAAAAAAAGAAAGAGAAACACAACCAAGTTAATCAAATTAACCAAATCATAAAACACATGTCGATTTTTTTCAATCTAACTAAGGTAAGCATAAAATAGAGGGAATGTTTTTAAGGACGTGAAAAAACGAAACAAAAAAAATGGAGGTAATAAAATAAAATAGTCAAATAAATCGATAAATTAATTATCTTCGTGGTACTAAATATAAAAAACACAACATCTGAAGCATGCTGTCAGAAAATAAATTTGTAATTTCACTCCATCATCTGCATAACATCTTTTGTTTGTTATTTCATGGTTGGTTGGCCGATTTTGCGCGCAAAAAATTTGAAAATTTGGTTCTTAATACCGTTATTGTTATTATTACTATTATTATTATTACTACTACTACTACTACTACCACCATTATTGTCGTTGTTATCGCTATTGCTATTAAAAATTGTGGATGTATAGAATAGAAAATAAATTATCGAATGATTAACGGGGAAAAAAATTGACATAAGCAAGCATGCCAACCGCCATCTACTTATTTATTTTATAATTAATCAAACGAAAAACTATTGAAAATTTATGATAAGAATCAATCTGGCAGACTATCCAATTGGTAAAGATAAGCGTCATGTATTTAGACATACACACAAATTAGTTAGCTATAAATATTTACATTACCCTGCATTTTCATTTATATCTAGGACATTTTAGTTTATTTATTTATTTATTTTTAATTTAGTTTATTGATAATCTAGCTATCATTTACAAGTTCACTAAAATCTAATTGTTTAATGTTTATTCAGTCTTTCGTCGTTGAATCATTTGTTGAATCCTTCATTCCTTTCTTCCTTCATTCATCCATTCAAACATATATAAGTTCATTCATTCATTTTTCCATTCATTCATTCACTCATTCATTACGTCATACATTAATTTGATGATGCAATTAGTAAATAAACTCATTTCCATATATGTTTAACGTTCAACCAACCAACCACCTATGCAATAATAATAACAATAATTAATTCAACAACTTCACTGATCTACTCAGGAATCAACGTATTTTATGCACATCAAAATATTATGCATCAACATCACCATTCAAATGATTCTCTTTCTTTCTTTCTTCCTTTCTTTCCTTCTTTCTCCTTTTCTTTGATTTACTTTGTTCGCTTCTCTCAATCCACTAACTAGCAATCAATCCACGCATTCTATCTCAATTTATGCTTGCTTGCATCATCAACATGTTTTACTAGATTTTTTCTTGCTCTAATTAACTATCCAATTTCAAACCACTAAAAGATATACTGATTGATGGATATTAAAATACAAATCCATGGATATACATATAGATACATTATTAGATAGATAGGCAGATATACAGATACATCGAAATATAGATACATAGACATTCTAATACCTACCTAGATACACAGATACATCAATGAACGTTTCTAAATACCAATAACAATGACTCACGTGCTAACATTTTTAAAGTTTACATGATGTGCAAACAAATCCTTCTTTTTGCATCTTATAATGTTATAATTCACCAATTCTTTTTATATTTAGTTAGCAACCTTTAATTTTTTTATTACTTTTCTTGATTATTAATTTGCTAGACTTAAACTTGCGTATATGATTCATTATTTTGTTAAAACCCTCATTCATTTATTCACTCCTTCATTTTTTCATTCTTTGGTTCCTTCACTCATTCAATCATTTCTTTATTCAATTAATCTTTTATTCATTCACTCACCTACTCATTCGATCCAACAAAAATTTCCAATAAAGCGCCGATAATAACCTGCTGATGAATGAATGGTAGTAATAGCACGCTAAACTTAGCAGGGTTGAAGAAACACACATACACAAATTAAAGACGCTGGCCTCATTCACAATTGTTTTGTATAAAATAAATTGTATTTACGTTTACGCTTGTATTGTATGTTTGTTTGAATGTTTATATTGGTTTGTAAGTGTATGCTTGTTAACGTTTATATTCATTTGTAGTGAACCAAAAATAAATCGTTTGAAAACTTTTGTAATTTGATATAAGATGAGCATCAAGTTGCTAAGATATTTAAAGCATCAAAAAGTAACTTTAGACGTATAAAAATTATAAAATATATTCTACTATTATTATTCTGTCAGTTTCCTATTTTTATTACTACAATTTTTGAGCACAGTTTAAAAAAAAATGTAATAACATGCAACCAACAAATCAAACTAACTTGAAACAATTTCAAAGTAGTCCTTTATAAGACCACACTGTTAAGTTAAGTATGGGAGTAAGCGAGTGACTCACATTTAAATAAAAATTAAAGCATGTTTCACCCATACACACAAAGTTAGATAAATACATACATACTTACATGTACAAATAGTTAATAAGAACTAAAATGTATGCATACATAATACAGTCAGCCCGCCAGTCAGTCAACCATTCACCCATCAATAAGTACTGAAACACATCAAACCAGTTCTCCAGCTAGAGCTAGCTTGCATCTTAAATGCACACATGCACACGCACGAAAAAGTAAGCACACATGCACGCGCACATACGTATTTAGTATTATTGTACATTTAACACCCTGTTCTTGTGTGACCTGCTGGGACCTTCTACATTTCAACATAAATACGTGTTGACTGACTGATTGCAGAGTGAATATGTATAGTATATAGTAAGTACCAGAATGTGAACAAATAACTACACATGCACCTAAACATGCAATTCTACGCATACACACAAAAAAGTACTCACACACAGACACACATACACACACACACATAAATAAATACAATTGTAATATAGTATATATCCTGCTTATTCGGAGAGATGAAGAAATTCAAGCAGTGACTATCGCTTATGGTGCTCGCAGAGAGAGCCGATCTCATTTGGACTCTCAGAATTTTTCATGGAGACGTTTCTGCCGATGTCAGTCCAACGTTGTTTTCATCAGAGGATCGGACGTTGTTGAAGACTGGCTACTGGAACATGTCACAAAGATTGCCAGATTTCATTTCTCGAACCGAGTAGTGAATGACTGGAACAAAATTATTTCGGATGCTATTAATGCTATTAACGTTAATATTTATAAATCATCAGTACTAAAATTGTAGGTGATATATAATGTCTGGTTCGTGCTCATAGTTTAGGTTTTGTATTTGTAATTAGACATCTTAATATCAGCTTATTTAGTCTCCTCGTTTCTTGGTTACTTGTGTCTTTCAGGTGTCTTGTGTCTTTGTCTTTCTTTTGTCTTTCTTGTGTATTTAAAGCATTCGGTTATTATATTCAATTTTGTACGTTACCGTTTCGTCAACTGTTAAGTCTGGATTCTACATTTTATTAGAATTTTAGATTTTTTTTCATAACAATTTGGCCGAGCTGATTTACATAATAATGACAATAATAATAATAATTATTATTATTATAATAATAATATAAAAGGAAAGATAGAGAGAAAAAGAAAAAGGTTAGACAAATGAACCAATAGCAAGCCCAAAAGATGGAGAGTTTAATTGCATAAACACACTTATGACCACATTAAACATCAAACACACACACACATACACACGTGGCTTATCAAATGTACATATGTTTATGCTATTGATATCTAATACGTGGTGCTGTGTTTAGCCTTTGGATATGTTCGTACACTTTGTATGTTTGTGTCTAAATGCACACATAAGAGTTT